AGGTGGTTTTTCCTGAAGGAAGTCAGTCAGCTTGTATAGTTGTTCTCAGTGAAAGTGCTCTCCTGAATTGTTACTCCCTCACTGAGGATTAAGGAAGCGAATATCATTCCTTGAAAATGATAGTGAGACCCACGCCGGAACTATGTTCCCGGTCCATTAGTGGGTTGCTGTTTTCTTTCCTTTTGAATAAGAAAGTAACTATATTATCAAGTAAAAGAGGAGGAAAAGGTTTGTTCCCTTACTTAAACCTTGGTGGTAAAGTTGGGCAACTACTACTTAGCTAGGGTGGGTCTAGAGTGACTGCCTAGGCCAGACTCTCGCTAGGTAGGGCCACCATACTTAGAGAGGTGCGGGATCGTCACGTGTTGTCTTAATAGGTACGAGTGGTGTTGTCTTGCTAACCTTAATAAGTCCAGTAAGGTGCAAGCGCTGGAATCAGAGAGGGTTAAGGTGAGGCTTGATCTGTAGAGCGGGGCTCAAGAGTCGAGATGTTATCCCATGAGGATTACACCGGCCCTCTATATTATATGCTCCGCTTAAAAGATGAAGAGTAACTATGATGTTATTTATTCATTGCTAATCTTATTTTGGCCTTATAGAATCTGCACTATGGTTGAGAGTCATTTTATTGCATGAGTGTGCTCTTCAGCTGCAACCCTAGCAGTCTGTTTGTGCTTGCCATGTTGTGAATGATTATTACGAGTATATGCTATGTATTATAGGTTGTACTGCATTTTGGATTCATGTTTGGAGTATCCACCTATGTGACATATGTAAGTTGTATCCTTCCTTGATAGTAAAAGTGATATTTGGTTAATGTCCAAGTTATGTTTTAAGCATCTTATCAGTGAATATTTGTGTTTTATTTTTAGGTGGATATTTGTTTAAAGGTTGTCTTCGGTATCGCGGTTGTTCTAAATAGGTTCTCATGCGCACTCACATGATGACAGTCGGGAGAATTTTAGTGGGATATATTCTATATTTGACTTAATTGTGTAACCTCTTTCGAGTCTCGACCCTAAGACCACTCGTTGTCTATTCAAACAAGTGATGGGTTCAAGGGATCTCGAGATGGAAGGTTTGCAAGGGACGATCGAGGTCGAGAAACTCACCTATCTGCTGGATCTGCGAGATTGGGAGCGAGACAACCTACCCGAGGTTGAGATCGACTTCTTCAGAGGCTATCATGTTTCCGACTTCCTTGATAAGTTCGGACAAATAGCATCCTACTGCAAGTGACATGAGGAGCGGATGCTAAAAGAAGTCATAAAGTATATCCATATAAGCTTGAAGGAGGAAGTCAGTGGGTTGATTAGAAGAGCAGGAACATCATGGAGTAAGTTTCGTAATGTCATGTGGGAAACGTACCGACTAGGTGAGGAGTAACTGACAAAGGATGAGCTTGAGAAGATACATCGGTTCAGTTATGTGTAGGTAGGATATTTTTTGGCAGAATATGAAGGTGCTTCTCGTAAAGTTTGGACATTGTCTGAATATGACAAGTGACAAGTGCTTTGTCTTCCTTATGAGCTTTTCGGAGGCAGAGCAACGAGATCTAACTCATGGGATAGAAGGAAGGCTTATATGAGACAAAATCTGAGAGAATTTTGTACAAGGGGATTTGATCAGCACCTTTGTCATACTATGCATGAAGCAAGAAGAAGAAAGAAGACACAAGATAATAAAAAGAGTGAGCATGGTAGAAAGACAAATACTTTTGCAATTGACATCTCTGAGGGTATGAAAAGTGAACTTTAGAAGGACATTAAGGAAACCAAGCGGAATCATACGTGAGGTGAAGGGAAGAAAGAGAAGCAATGTGTTGAGAGAAAGGAAGTGCAAATTAGAGCAAGGAATGTCGCGACTCATACCTGTGAAAGAACGATTGATGTCTCAAGCAGGAAGAGGAAAGAAAGCGAGGGATCCACAAAGAAGTTGGTATAGCCCTACCTCCCACTGCATTTGATCATAAAAAGGGGTAATGATACAAAGGCATCATCAAATGTAAGTTGGACAGGGCGAAAGAATAGCAATGGTCGAAGATTGTATGTGGTTGTTGTGGGAAAGTTTGTCATACCTTTCGCAAATGCAAGAGAGGGAAAGATAGAGTCGAAGAAGGAGACCGTTTGCCCCAGATAAAGGTTAATTTTTCTCCTAATAGTTAGCATCGTCTCACTTATCTCATCTATGGCAAGACAGAGGTAGAGTCGCGTCAGTAGTTTCATACGACTTACCGATAGACATTTGGAGTGTTATGACGGTATGAAAGATTTAGTTGCTAGACTAATAGGCAATTATCTATTTCGCATTGCCGTTAAGGCTGAGTCTATAAGCTTTCCGATGATATATGAGATCCGCCTTGTATGTAATTCTGATTTCGAATGTGGGTCATTACTTCTTTTGGGATTGTGCGAACGTACTGGATGTGACTATCCACTTTCTAAGCTTAGTTTAAGTTTTGTTAGGGTATAAGTGGAGGGTTACTATGGATAGGTTGTCTGTACGTTTGACGCTCAATCATTTCCACGAGAACACTTGGGATTATTTTTTTGTATATCAGTCAATTATGACCTGTAGGGTATGCAATATAAGGTCATTTGTTTTTTATTGAGACTTTGATTGGTGATGGTTTGAGATTTGTGATAATGTGAAACTCGAAAATAGTCTGGATCTCTTTTGGGAATCCCTTTGGTATGGGTTTTTGATCCCCTCAAATTGCAGATTCGTGTGCGTTCTGGTTGTCATTATCGTTCTCACCATTGTGACTTTATGAGTTTTTCTATGTTTTATTATGTTTTGACAAACGAGAAAGAAAAGAGTTAAAAGTGTGGAAGGAAAATGTGGCAAATCACGAATAAAGTGTGTCCGAACCAAAGAGGGTTCGATGAAGTGAAGAAAACGTGATTATCAATGAGATATTTTTGGCAGACTCAAAAAGTCCAAAAATTATATTGAGTTATAAATGAGAGAGAGGTTATGCCTGAGGGCAGCCTAAGTGGTTATTTTTGGAAAAAGAGATTTACTAAAAATTTTATCCTCTGCCAGAATCGGCAACTCCATTTTGTTGGTTCTTAGCTGTCGGTGGGGGCGTTGTTTGTGGCAGGGAAAACCACCTGATTTTGGGACCCCTCATGACTGGCCTTTTGGTTGAGTCACAAATGGTTTTGTGTGCGGCAGAGGGTAAGGTACGAGTTCTTATCCTCTTCCAGAATCGGCAACTCCGCTCTGATGGTTCTTAGCTGCCGGTTGGGCGTTGTCCGGGGCAGGGAAACCCGCCTGATTCTGGGACCCCTCATGATTGGCCTTTTGGTTGTGATTCACAGATGGTTTTTTGTGCGGCAGAGGATAAAGAAAGAACCGCCAGAATCGGCATCCCCGCCTAGCTTAGTCACATAATAGTCGGTAAAGGTGTCGTCTGCGGCAGGAAAACCCGCCTGATTTCTGGGACCCTTCACTTTTAACTTGTTATGGACTGCAAGTGGTCTAGTCGCGGCAGTGATTTCCATGATTATGAGGACTAAGTTTTGACTAATAGCCAGTGGGGGTGTGTCGTTTGCGCGGCAGGGAAACCCGCCTGATTCCGGGACCCTCCACTTGGCTTTAGTCTAGGTTGAAAGCGACATTGTCAACAAGTGTGAAGTTTTGAGAAATAAAAACATTGAGTTTTATTTGAAGGAAAAATTATGAGAGCTTGCTCACGGAGCAAAGCTTATGAATGAGATTGGCAAAGTGTGTGATGAAAGTAAAGAACCCTACTTCTAAAAGTAGGATTTTTGGGCAAAAGGTGTGGATTTCATTTATTTTGAAGACTTAAACCACCAGTACCTACCGGTTGTCAAGGCCCGTGGCTCAGGCTACCGGTAGCCTGGTTAGTGTCGAGCCTCGGACTTTATTGCCGAGCCTTGGACAACCGGTAGTACACAACGGGAAAAAGAAAACACACACACACACACACACACACACACACAACATTCTGCAAAAAAAAAACCAAAAAAAAGAAAAACGAAACGAGACATGCCCAACGAGAATGAATCTTCCTCGATAAAGAGGAAAATTCATTCTCGTGAGAGAGAGAGAGAGAGCCAGTGTCTGACGCTGAGTTTGGTGCACCTGCAAGGAAGATGAGCAATAGCGAACTCCAACAATCAAACARCATCATACATATGAGTCCAGATAGTCTTGACCTCGAACCAACAACAGAATTGCATCACGAGATACACCAAATAAGAACACACCAAGAGTTCATAATTGACAATGCTGAAATAGTCCCATCATCATCAACGGAGAACCAGAGTTGATATCCTATCTGGCGCTCGGCGCCCAGACTACATGTGGCAGATCCTATCTAGCCTATACTACGAAGCCGAAAGATGACATCAACAACATTCCCGAAGTACGAGCATATGGCGACCAATGTCGCACGCTTCCAGCACCAGGGATGTCTCGCGCTACACTCACAACCTCGTTCCCCAACTCACAGATGCCACTAGCACCCAAGGACCACCCTGCGCTTCACCCAGCTTACAGCAGCCAGCTCGACTATGGCTGCGTGCTCCTTCCCTGCTCGCCTGTGAGAGCGTAGGCGCCAGCCAGCAAATAGCGCAGCAGCAGCGCTTGCGCAGCATGCAGCCAACACCTGAATGCCGAATGAGGAGGCAGGCCCTTCCCTATATCGAAGTGGCCTTCCTGCGTCCAGTCCAGGAAGCTTCCAGTAGGCCCCGGTAGCCTGAGGCCCAGCATGCGAGGAGCAGGCCTTGGGCCTGAAGTGGTTGCATGTGCCCAACTGCTTTTCGGCATGTGTTAGGCCTGGTACCTGTATCCAGCCTAGGGCTTGCTTCACGTACATTCACACAGGCGGCCCAGGGCCTGGGTTCACTTAACCAACTGGCGCTGCGCAACTGCCTGAATTTCCTTGAGTTGCGTGGTGGCCAAAAAAGGGCCCTGAGGGCCTCGTCGAGCCTGCCTTCACTTAGGGCGGCCGACGGGCTGCTAAAATGGGGCCTTGTGGGGCTCTTAGAGGCAGTGGCCTCGCATTCCCTCCTCCTTAGCTTCAACAGTCCTCTGAGAAGCTCAATCTTCGATCATAGGGCGCTTTCCCTTCTGCAGAGATCTCTCGTATTGAGTCACAACTTGAGGAGCGGTCTGCATTAATTCCTCCCTAGTGAACCATCGGTCCTCCTTCGGATCAGTGTGATGCCGGAACCGAACGCGGTATTGCAGCTTCGGTTTTGGAGGACGTCCCCTGCCTGCTGGTCTTGATACCGGCAGCTCTCGGTGATCCACAATATCATCAATGTCCACCTCTTCGTCCATGGTTGGGGGCAACATTGAGCGACGAGATGGAAACTGGTCAGTTTCTTTGAAAGGTGCCAGCTTGGAGGCGTGAAAGACAGGGTAAGTACGAAGATGACCAGGAATCCGGATAACATAAGATGGCCCATCTGGATCTGTCCCAACGATGTCTAAGACTTCCCAAGGTCCAAAGTACCGAGGCATGAGTTTGTGGGATATCCCATACTCCTGTCCCAGTTTTGAAGACTTAACCCAGACCCTATCCCCAACCTGAAATGTAGAAGGTCGGCGGTTTCTGTTTTCGGACTCTATCATCGCGGCATGTGCCTTCTGCATCAAAACTACCGCCTGCTGCATTTTCTGTTCGTATCTGTAGGCAAACTCTAACGTACCCGGTGCAGCAGTTGATTCATTCTCAGGTAGGAGAAAGTCAAGAGGTAGTCTAGGCTTGAAAGTCAGTAGTAGACTGTTCGGGCTCACCCCAGTGGCACTGTGTACCGCGTTGTTATACAGACTGGCGATGAGAGCAAGCTTCCCATCCCAGTCCACCTGGTTGGGCTTGATGTAATGCCTCAACAGGTGTTGTACAACGCGGTTCAGTTGTTCGGCCTGGCCGTTGGCCTCTGGGTGATTCCCAGAAGTCATTTGCAACTGAGTGCCCTGCTCTGCAGCAACGGCCTTCCACAACTCGCTGGTAAACCTGACATCCCTGTCACTGACAATAGACTTGGGTAAACCAAAGTCTCTAACCCAGTTTTCTTTGAACATTCGGATCACGTACTCCTTTCTTGTTGTTTCTGGCATGGCTACTAGCCTAGCATACTTACTAAATCTATCCACGATGATGAAGATGTGGCGCATCCCGCTCTTATTGGTGATCAGAGTATCCATGAAATCAATGGACAGACTCTCACCAGGCCGTTCCGCAATCGGAAGGGGCTTCAAAAGCCCAAGAGGAGTCTGAGTACGTGGCTTGTCCCGTTGACAAACTTGACAAGTATCCACGTACAGCTGAGCATCTCACATCATCGTGCGCCACCAGAACCGCTGCAGCAGGTTGGCTGCGGTCGTTTTATACCCAAAATGGTCGGTGGCATCATGACACTCGCCTAAAAACAAACTACGCAAAGACTCGCTACTTGGGACACACAACCGTTTATTCCCGTCCTTCTCAAGGAACAGCAAGCCATTGACCAACTCAAACTCAGCAGAGGTCTTCTTGTCCTTTGCCTGGAGTCTGCGTATGATCTCAGACATGAACTCGATAGGCATCCACCAAAGAGCGAGTAACATCGTCCGTGAGATCGAACTCAGTAATCAGCGCACCTGAAAAGTCAGGTCTACACGACAAGGCATCAGCCACCTTATTGTACTCCCCTTTGAGATACTGGGGGCCGAAGTCATATTGCTCAATGACTTCGATCCAACGCTTTAGAGCGTCAGATAGTACGGGTTGAGTTCTCATCCATCTCAGGGTCTGATGATCAGTCCTGAGGATGAAGAATCTCCCAAGGAGATAGTGTCTCTAATGGGTCAGAGCCTTGTACACTGCGTAGAGTTCCTTCTCATAGGTGGACTTCTGAGACGGCATCTTTTTCGACATGTACTCGACTGGCCTCAACTTTGGCCCCTCCTGCTGTGCGAGCACGGCGCCAATGGTATATTGGCTGGCATCCGTGGTGACTATAAACAGCTTGTCAGGATCAGGAAGTTTCAAGACTTCATAGTGCGTCAACGCATGCTTCAGATGTCTGAAAGCAGCCTCGCACTTATCTGTCCACTCCCATGGGGTGTCAAGGCGGGTCAGATCAGTCAAAGGAGCGGCCACAATGCTATAGTTCTTTACAAAAGTCCGGTAGTAGCCTGTCATTCCTAAGAAAGATCTCATCTCAGTCACAGACTGAGGTCGTGGCCAATCACGGATGCTGGCCACCTTCGCGTCATCGGGCTTCAACCCTTCCGCGGAGATCTCATGACCCAAGTACAAGATACGGGTGCGGCCAAACTCGCACTTTTCACCGTTGATCTTGAACTTGTGCTGTCGCAGGAGACTGAGAACTTTGTCTAAGTGTGCTACGTGCTCCTCGACAGTCTTACTAAAAATAAGTATGTCATCGAGGTACACGATGACAAACTTATCCAAGTAGTCTTGGAATATCCGATTCATAGCGTGCTGAAAGGTGCCAGGAGCATTGCACAGGCCAAAAGGCATCACCACAAACTCGTACAGACCGTACCTGGTCTGAAATGCGGTTTTGTGTTGATCCTCGGGCCGGATTGCAATCTGATGGTACCCGGACTTCAGATCTATCTTACTGAAGTACCGACACCCTTGCACTCTAATTAGCAAATCGTTGATGCGCGGTAGGGGCTCTCTGTTCTTTACAGTGATGGCATTGAGGCCCCTATAGTCAATGCACATCCTAATAGTACCCTCCTTCTTAGGCACGAATAGAACTGGAGACCCATAAGGAGAGACACTCGGCCGGATCCAACCCTTCTCTACGAGTTCCTTGAGTTGGCGGCGAA